TTGAGGGTTCAGGGGTTTCTGGGTTCAGGGTTTATAAGTATCGTTTTTGGGTCTTAAAAATTAAAACCATGAAGAAACTAGGGCTTAAATCTTTGGGGCTTAGAATCATTAAGAAGCAGCTGCTAGGGTCCCAAGTTCGGTATCGTCCTTCGGTGGGATGTACATCGGGCTTAGGTTGGAACATCTTCAAGCTCCCTGAAGGGTTTAGGGGTATTAGGGTGTTTAGGATGTTTATGGTTTTAGGGTTTAGGGTTTAGGGTTTTAGGGTTTTCAGTGTTTTCGGGGATGCAGGGATTTAGGTTGGAAGGGTTTCCGGCTAGGAATAGGCTTTCTTTAGGGTTTTGTTGAATTACAAAAGGCGCTGCATAAGCGCTTGACAGGATTCCGGAAGGCCTCTCCGAGAAGTATTGCTACAGGGTTTAGGATTCTGTAACGGTTCAATTGAATGATCTAGGGCCGGTGTTATGGTTTGGGGTGTAGGCTTTAGGATCAGGGTTTAAGTTTTCGGGTTTGGGCTAACCCCTAAACCCTAAACCCTTAATCAGACACTCTGTCGCTCTCGACCCTCCCACACTCAACCCACACAGAACCGGTATACTACTCCTACAGAAGCCCATGCGTAGAATATAGAAGCCTGAAAAATTACCTACATGATTCCCCCAGCGTTCCTTATTATAACTATCTATAATATGCCCCAAAACCCTATTCTAATTTTGAAGGCTCCTACATTAGAACAATTGACTCCCTAAGCCCTGAACCGCTCAGGAATACCATTGACAGTCTCTTCACCGGCGTGTCCCTCCCTGATGAGAAGTCGCGAGTCTTCTTTACTTCTCCTGTCAAGGCCCGCCTTATACACCCAAACCCTATTCGTATATAGGGGCCTTAGAAATTAGATTAGGGTCTTGGGGCCCAGTATACTATAAGTTTTCCAAGAAACCCTGGAAATAGTATTGATAAATATTTAGGCCCCTAGATTAGTTCTTAAGGCCTCCTACCCCTAAGCGCCCTGGGGTCTAGATGATCGTTGTTTTTATTAAAATGGGCCCCTAAACCCTAAACCCTAAACCCTAAACCCTAAGCCCTAAGCCCTAAACGTTTGGGGTTTCTTTTTCCGGCACAGTGATTTAGGCAAGACTTTGGCTTCACGGTTCGCGAGGTTTCAAGGTTTGGGACTTTGGGGTTGAGTTTAGGGTTTAGGGTTTAGAGTTTAGGGTTTAGGGTTTAGGGTTTAGGGTTTAGGGTTTAGGGTTTAGGGTTTAGGGTTTAGACTTGAAAGTTTTGAAGCATCTTTTTGCAGAGAAGGAAGCATTCTATGTCGTTCTTGTTGCTGTTGTAAGAGCACCCAGCTTTCGTTTCCCTGAGTTAATAGCGCATCCAAAGCCCCTCCCCTCCCCCTCCCCTCCCCCCTCGCACCCCGACCAGTTTGCAGCTCCTCCTGCCAATCACCTGGAACATGCCGAAGCCAGTGCACCCCAACATCCTAGAAGCCATTGTGTCCAAGAACCCTCCAACACCCCACGCCCTGAACCCTAAACCCTAAAGCCTAAACCCTAGACTCTAGACCCTATACCCTGACAAGCAGTTGCAAACCATGGGAATTCTCAAGTCAACGGCCTCGGGGACGAGATGGCAGGCCCGATTCATCCGACTTACCCACTTCAAGTTTCACCACTACGTTGCCTGGCGGCAGGTTTAGTTTAGGGTATGGGGTTTAGGGTTTAGGGTTTAGGGTTTAGGGTTTAGGGTTTAGGGTTGCCTGGCGGCAGAGTTACGAAAGACGGTAACTGCAAGGGATACTATGGGAGTTACTACAAGGGTTGCTATAAAGGATACGATGAGGGTTGCTACGCAGGCTCCTTACAGCCAAGGAGTATCATATCGGCCCGCCGGCAGGGTGACCAGGAGGTGGAGTGATGTACGGCAGATTGTAGAGTTTACTAGGCTTAGATTTTACGGGCAGGGTCGGGGCTTAGGGCTTCATGGCGTCAGCTTCAAGCATGTAGCGTTTCGGGAAAAGCGTTTAGCATCTAGGGTCTTGTGTGTGTGGCAATGCCCGTCGGTAGGGTTTGCGCATGTTTGAGCTATAACCACAACCTCTCGAGTCCCGCCCCCTAGAACACCAAAGCCTTTAACCCCAAACCCTAAGCCCTACACCCCAAGCCTTCTAAGCCCAAGACACTGACCCCCAAACTCTAAACCCCTAAACCCGAAACCCTAAGCTCCCTAAACCCCTTTATGCCAACCTTTATAGAAACCCAAATCACCCCTAAACCCTAAACCCTAAATCCTAAACCCTAAACCCTAAGCCCTAAGCCCTAAACCCTAAACCCTAAACCCTAAGCCCTAAACCCTAAACTCTAAACCCAAAACCCCCAAACTGCACCGGAGAGGCCGTGAGAGCCCTCGAACTTCGAGCCCCCCGACCTCCAATGTCTCAGCCCGAGATCCCGAGCTAAACTCGCAAGCATCCGCCATCCTGGGTTTAGGGTTTAGGATTTAGGGTTGAGGGTTTAGGGTTTAGGATTTAGGGTTTAGGGGTGGCTCTTGTTATTCATCATGGTGCTATTCTTGTGATTCTGATTATGTTTTTTTTGCTGTTGCTGTTGGGGTTGCTGCTGCAGTTGCTGCTGCAGTTTCTGCTGCGGCTGCTGCTGCTGTTGTCTGCTGTGTGCTTGTGTTTTTGTGTTTGTGGTGTTGTCGTCCTGCCGGTGGTATAATGGTGGTGGTTTTGCTCACAATTTCATGAATGGCCTGCTGAATGTCATCAGTGTTATAGCGGCCCTTCCCTTACGTCCACCGCCACCACCACCACCACCATCATCATCATCATCATCATCATCATCATGTGCATCCACCTCAATCATCGTCGTCAGACGTGTTATAAGCTTTATCTCGGGCATTCTTCCGCTTGTTCGTGTTGTGGTCGTTAAATACATGGTTGTGACACTCTAGACGCCCATGCTACTGCTGCTGATTAGGCTGCAGTCAGGTTTCTGAGGCCGGACATTTCTCAAACCACTTCATCCACTTCGTTGACAGGTTTGGTTTTGAGGGCTCCGGGTTTCGGTCTGAGATTTAGAGATGTCCATCGCTAGTAGGTGCAAGGTCCAACAACCTTAACACCTAACCCCGCTAAATCCTCAAAGTTAAGCCCCCTAAACCCTAAACCCCTAAACCCCTAAACCCTAAACCCCCTAACCCCTAAACCCTTAAGCGACGGAAGGCTTGCATGCGCTCTGCGGTGATCATCTGCAACTCGGTGGCTGCTAACGAGATGAACCTCGTGGAGTCAAGGTCCGGCGTTTACTTTCAAGCTTTATAGACTTAGTAAGCAGGGATCCTTCCTTGAAGGTTTCTCGTAAGGGAGCTAGATGGGGCTCCAGTTTCCTAGAAGATTAAGGTTACAGGAATGAGTATTCCCTAAACTCTAAACCAGCGCTGTCAAACCCTAAACTCCAGAAAAGCCCTCTCAGTGAAAAAAGCTTAGGGCTTAGGGTTTTCTGGTGTGCGCCCCTATCAAAGGACTAGGGCTTACGGTATCTGGCCATTTTCTATGCAAGGACCACCATGCCCAAAGCTGTGGGAGCCCGTGTAGTGTAGCCTTGCTGCCAAGTCAAAAGCCCAGCAATAATCAGGCTATAGGGTTTAGGGTTTAAGGT